CTACGAGAGGCGACTACCTCCATTCTCATAACACGACCCCTTCATTAAAAGTTCCTCCTCCCCCCCCCCCCCTTCCTCATCAACCCTATTTCTTACCTAGTCATCTTACAACCTCCCCCCCCCACACCCCCACACACCCCACCCTCCACCCGTGTTATTTGACCCATTTTTTTAATGAAAGATCTCTTTACCTCCATACCTCTCTCTCTCTCTCTCTCCAGCTCTCTCTCCCCATTTCATCCTCCCTACGCCCCCCCCACATCCACCCCTATGTACTCCAACCCCCCTTTAATATCCCCCTTAACCATTATACCCCCCTCCCCTCACAAACTACTCCTCACCCACCCCCACCTGCCCTCAAACCCACCTCCTCCACCATCTACCTAATATTACTGCCCAACCACCACTACATCACTATAATGGTGACGATTCAGGGGTCTCACCAGGAAAATCAATACGTGTTTCTTAAGGTCTTGCCCCCTGATAGTGAGGGCGGGTCATTATACTTCATTACAGTAATTATATCAAGTTCACTTCATTCCTGACAAGCGGGCGACTCGCTCTCTAATTGCTAAGATCATGCTCGTTGGTGAGTCACGCTGCCAGGGCTGGCGAGGGTGACGGGGGTGATGGGTGGGGTGGTAGTAGGTGATGGGTACTTACCTATCACCACTTACATATCACCTCTGTTTCTTCTATCTAGAGGTGTGAGATCTAGTTCCATGAGCCTCTCCTCATAGCTATATACTGTTACCTCAGCCACCAGTATTCTTGCAAGCATTTGTTCTTTTTAATTTTGTGTGAAGTGGTCTTGGGTGGACTGGGAATGGGTGCGGGGGGTGTTAGAAATGGGTGGGGTGGTGCTGGGAATGGGGTGGGGTGGTGCTGGGGATGGGTGGGGAGGTGCTGGGGATGGGGTGGGGTGGTGCTGGGGATGGGGTGCTGGGGTGGCGTCCTGTTGTGTAAAATGGTGATGTTTGTGCTGGTAAGAATGGGAGATGGGTGGATCATTCAACACGAATTAAATGTATTCGTTTACAAAGACAGTGCCAGCATTGTAATATGAAACGATAAATATTCATGAAGTTTTTTTCCTTTCAAACAAACATAAAGACAAATTATAATCATCAAAGGGAGTATGTATGATCATATGATCAGGCGAGTGATCATTCAATTCATGGACTGAATTCAGGTGTGGACTGAATTGATCACTCAATTCAGTCCATCAATTCAGTCTCCACCAAGGCATCTCTCACCTTGACGATTGCTGTCCGATGATTGATACAATCAGCATGGCGGTTGCTCTTAGAGGTGAGTCAACTAAGTTAGCTCTGATTGGCTCTCACTTCCGTCCTATAAATGTTCATTAATATATTTTTTTTACCAGTAGTGGTATATTTTAAATATAGACCGTCGCACACAGCGATAGTCGGCTGCTTCAGTTGGCTTCAGGGGTGGGAGGTGGTAGTGGAGGGAGTCTAGGACACTGTGGGACAACAGCCGTGACAAGAGCCGTGACAAGAGCCGTGACAACAGCCGTGACAACAGCCGTGACAACAGCCGTGGCAAGAGCCGTGACAAGAGCCGTGACAAGAGCCGTGACAAGAGCCGTGACAAGAGCCGTGACAAGAGCCGTGACAAGAGCCGTGACAACAGCCGTGGCAAGAGCCGTGACAAGAGCCGTGACAACAGCCGTGACAAGAGCCGTGACAACAGCCGTGACAACAGCCGTAACAACACAGTTACCTGTAGAGTCCAAGATCTAGATCCTCAGACAGCTGCTGCTTGCCTTCTACGCTGAGGTGATTTCTGTGTCCAAACGCCGATGAACCTCATGCTTCGCGCTGGCTTGTCTCTTCCTGTTGAGACAAACATCAGACTTGTTGGACGACTCCCTAACGACTGTTGATTAACGCATACGACGCGGCTTGTTCCGTTACCTCTGAGTGCCGCCGGCAGTGCCAATTCTTGGGACAAGTCGACAGCTAGTCTGGCATGGGGAATACAGAACAAGGCACATAACCTGCCCTGCTTCTCCAGACTTCTCTTGAGTTACACAAAGGTCCAGAAAATGGGTCGTGAGATGCGTTTCAGCCCCACCTATTGTAACCGAGCAATAATCAAGTTTTCTCCCCCATTCCGGATTTTCTTCTTGTCACACTCTTGCACAACATATTTCTTGCCGACGGTTCGAGCCGCTTGTGTGAGGGGAGATGCCCGCTCTACAACACAGGACGCTGTAACTCGAATCTCAAGAGTCAAGTACAGGAAGCTCTATAATGAGCACAGAGCACCGAGATTGAGCGCATTCACTCGGTGGCGTTAAACAGACAAGTGACTTGGTGAGGCTGCAGATCATGGTGTGGTGGGTGGCAGGGTGGGTGCTAGCCTCAGGTGGGTGGGGGAAAGAGGAGGAGCAGCATCATGCGACCTGAAGTGATTGGAATTGGTGATGCCGTGAGATGAGGGGATGCTGGAGATGCTGTTAACCTCCGCTAGCCTCAACCACAGGAGGGGAGGTTGGGGGGGGGGGGGAGCCACCTACCTGGCCTTCATCTCATCTTATATAATCACAAGCTGGTTTCTCACGCACCTGTTCTCTCTCTACACACACTGGATTTTTTACTTCGTCATCTCTCTCTCTCTCTCTCTCTCTCTCTCTCTCTCTCTCTCTCTCTCTCTCTCTCTCTCTCTCTCTCTCTCTCTCTCTCTCTCTCTCTCTCTCTCTCTCTCTCTCATTCTCGCCATCTACCTCCCGTTTTCTCCTACTCTCCCGCCCCCTTCCCCGTCTCATGCAAGCATTCCACAGTTCCAGGAAATCTTCATTAACATTTGTTGACGTTCTCTCCCTCTCTGGAGTGCGAGAGAGAGAGAGAGAGAGAGAGAGAGAGAGAGAGAGAGAGAGAGAGAGAGAGAGAGAGAGAGAGAGAGAGAGAGAGAATATAACATGTAAAGTGAGGCGGCTGAAGGCGTAGATGCAGTAGGCTTGCATAAATGAAGTCGTATTACTAAGATTGCTAAAGATTAATCAACATTGTTTTCCATAAAACAGGCCTAATCACCAGCCTGCCCTAATCACCAGCCTGCCCTAATCACCAGCCTGCCCTAATCACCACCTTGCCCTAATCACCAGCCTGCCTTATCTTTTCTACACTCTCTCTTTCTCTCTCTCTCTCTAAACGTCATTATTTCATCTGTTCCCTTTAATTAGTTTAGTCATTTATGGAGATTGATTTTCGAAAGAGAGAGTGGCGGCAATTCAAGAATACAGTGATACAGGGAGAAAATGATACAGGAAGCAAGGGGTCGCGTTGATACAAGAGCCACCTGGTTACAGTGATAGAGATACAGTATGGTGTTATGCCCAGCGTTGTTTGAGTGTGACTGTATAGTTGTTTGAGTGACTGTATGAGTGACTGAGTTGTATGAGTGTGAGTGTATCGCTTTGTGAGTGTGACTGACAATGACAGGCGCCGTGACCATGAGTGTGTGTGACAGGTCGTAGCCGTAACTACATAGCGTGACGGTAATGAGAGGTGACAGACGCAGAAAGTTACAAGTAACCACGCCCGTCTCTCGCTGTCACTCGGTCCCCTGTTTATCCCTTGCTGTCCCTCGTTATCTCTCTAGCTGCATCTATCTGTCACCCCCCCCCCCCGTCACTATCCTTCGCTATCTTTCTCCCTGTCCCTCGCTGTCTCTCACTATCTCCAACGTTGTCCCTCAATATTTCTCACTGTCCTTCGCTATCTCTCACTGTCCTTCGCTATCTCTCACTGTCCTTCGCTATCTCTCACTGTCCTTCGCTATCTCTCACAGCCCTTTGCTATCTCTCACTGTCCTTCGCTATCTCTCACCGCCCCTCACTATCTCTCACTGTCCCTCGCTATCTCTCACTGTCCTTCGCTCTCTCTCACCGCCCTTCGCTATCTCTCACTGTCCCTCGCTATCGTGCTATTATTTTTATATTCCTCAGTGGTCAAGTCATCTCGCATATTTCCATAACCTTGAAGCTTGCGTAACCAACTACCCCCCCCCCCTCACCCAACCCCCACCAAGCCGTCAGCCCCCCCCCCCACCACCTCCTCCCTAACAACCCTCCCTAACGACCCTCTCCTATCAACCTCGTGTCCTTTAAGTTACACTGGTCACGGCCGTCAATCATATCTATCTGACATGCGCAAAGATTTCTTGACAGAATTATCAGAATTCTTACACTTTGCTGCCAGCCATCAACTCTAAAGTGGTTGGGGGTAATTGGCTGTCAGCCATTCATTTATAATCAGGGTAATTACCTTCGTATTACTTATATATATAATTAATGTATACGATTATATTCTTATATACACAATGGCAGTTATAGTTATTCATTGCTATGTATTATTTTTAAGCGTGTTTATACATACACATAATCGTGGTTTTTCGTTTTTTTATGGTATATTTTTCTTGGTTTAATTATCTGGGTGGTTGAAGGGGTGATACAATAAATATTTGGAGGGTCAGAAACTATGATTTTGAAACCATATAATATTTGAGGAGGGGAACACAGGGGGGGGGGGGAGTGGTCGGTTAGCTTAGGAATCCGTACACCGGTTGACTGACTGTTGAGAGGCGGGACCTAAGAGCCGAAGCTCAACCCCCCTTGCAAGCACAACTAGGTGAGTGGTGTACAGTGGTCGGTCAGAGATTGTTTACGTCTCTTTGTGATTATGTGTTGTACTTAGTGAGTGGCACTCACCTAATTGAGTTTGTTGTGGTTGAGGTTTAGCTCTATCTTCCGTCTCTTTTTCTTTATTTGGTGTGTGTGTGTGTGTGTGTGTGTGTGTGTGTGTGTGTGTGTGTGTGTGTGTGTGTGTGTGTGTGTGTGTGTGTGTGTGTGTGTGTGTGAGTGAGGGGTAAAGAGAGACATACCCACCTGGAAGGTACGAGGTGCAAGGTGGTGTGTGTGTGTGTGTGTGTGTGTGTGTGTGTGTGAGGGGTAAAGAGAGACATATACCCACCTGGAAGGTACGAGGTGCAAGGTGACTCTGGAAGTAGAGTGCCTGGTTACACTCCACCATCAGGACGCGGATGTGTCGAGGGTCACCAGTGCCGTGCCACAGCCGCTCGTCCCCTGGCACCACCTCCTCTTCCATGTCCCGGGTGGCACTCTCCCACTGACCCTTGAGCACCTGGGGCCCGAAAGTGTCGTCCAGAATTCGGACGCGGCACTCTAAGACCTCCGGCGCCCTCCAGTGGCACCACGGAGACGCTGCCTTGAAGGTGGCATTAGCCTGAGTCTCGCTGGCACTAGTGGGTGCCACGGTGTAGAGGGACGAGGCCTGTGCCAAAGTCCTGCTCGTGGCCATCACCAACGCTGTCAACATTAGCGTCATTGCCTCCGTCATTTTAGCGAATTTGATTCCACTCCACTTTGCCCTATTCAATAGTTATTTTGACTGTTCAGCTGTCCAGTCTTCGCACAGAGTCACACCACGAGGCCTCGACACAGTCAGTGTGACTAGTGCCACACGGGAGCTTTGCCCTGACATGCTAGGCACCTTGACACTCGGGACAGATCTAACATTCCGGCCCGTCTGGTGATGTCATCATCTCTCAAGTTATACAAGAAAATTTGACAAATTTCGAAAGGTCGCGTAACGCGATGTTTCCCGGGCTCCCCAGTCACGGCATCGAGGCGTCCTCACACTACTCTGAGCCTCCTGGCACAGAATTGTCGCGTCCTCACACTGCTCTGAGCTTCCTGACGCAGAACCGTCGCGTCCTCACACTACTCTGAGCTTGCTGACGCAGAACCGTCGCGTCCTCACACTACTCTGAGCTTGCTGACGCTGAACCGTCGCGTCCTCACACTGCTCAAAACTTTCTGTCAACAATCACTGGGTTGAGCAGCAGCTTCATGTCTCCCCCCCCCCTACTCAAGCTGTCACTTAACTCGCGGGTGTTCCAGCGCGAACACGTATCACAGTATACACGTATCACTCCACCTCCCCCATTCAGGTCACTGCCGGTAACAGTTAACTAATATCACAAGTGGTAGGGCGGTGTTACGTCACTTCCAGTGCCTTCAATACCTCCAGAGTGCCGTCGTTTCCATCCGGCGAGAGTGGCACTACTTCCTACACAGCACCAGCGAGTGGCACACCTCCTTGCTCATGGGTACTCCAAGCTGTTCATCACCTTGAGTGGATCGCACTCTTATGATTGGACGATGAGTGGGGGGTCACTCTGAGGGGCGCCTGTCACACCTACCGTCAATCAACATCACACTTCCACACACACACACGCTCGCTCTATTAAAATGATTTATCCTCGTCTATCTATAATCCATAATTCTCAGTCCAGCGGCATGAGTCAGTGTGTTTGGCATTCCAGGAGTGTGAGTCAAGGAGGGCAGAGAGGCACTCTTGGTGAGGGCTGGAGTGCGACTTGTTGCGTGGAGAGGTCTGCCCCCGCACGCACTCACTCACTCACTCTCTCACTCTCTCTCTCTCTTTCTCTCTCGGTCCGCTCAGCGCCGCGTCCCGGCCATCACTGCCTGGAAAGATTGGAGCTTCCTGTGTTTTGGTTCCAGCCGTCAAGTTGCCAGCTCGCACCAGGTGAAGAAAACCTCGACCCTCTACTGAGGAATACGGTCTCTCTCTCTCTCTCTCTCTCTCTCTCTCTCTCTCTCTCTCTCTCTCTCTCTCTCTCTCTCTCTCTCTCTCTCTCTCTCTCTCTCTCTCTCTCTCTCTCTCTCTCATCGTGGCCTGGACTGCAAGATGTGCATGATGTACGTTTTGAGTGATAACTAGGTCGATCCACCAGCCACTCTGCTACTGACACCCAATAGACTCGGGAACTTGTTTGGAGTCCCTTCCCTCTCTCAACTTCTTAACCCCTTCCATCTCAACCTTCCCCTTTTGACCCTCTCTCTCTTCCTTCCTCTCTCAACCCCTCTTAACCTCCACATGCTATAAAAACTGTTATGAGGAAATGTTCCATAACCCTCAACAAATTGGTCAGTTTCCAGGCTGAAGTACACCAGGGTTCCAAACACACACACACACACACACACACACACACACACACACACACACACACACACACACACACACACACACACACACACACACACACACACACACACCTATAGGGGCCTCGTAGCCTGGTGGATAGCGCGCAGGGCTCGTAATTCTGTGGCGCGGGTTCGATTCCCGCACGAGGCAGAAACAAATGGGCAAAGTTTCTTTCACCCTAAGTGCCCCTGTTACCTAGCAGTAAATAGGTACCTGGGAGTTAGTCAGCTGTCACGGGCTGCTTCCTGGGGTGTGTGTGTGTGTGTGTGTGTGTGTGTGTGGTGTGGGAAAAAAAAAAGTAGTTAGTAAACAGTTGATTGACAGTTGAGAGGCGGGCCGAAAGAGCAAAGCTCAACCCCCGCAAAAACACAACTAGTAAACACAACTAGTAAACACACACTGGGGCCTGTGGCTGAGTGGACAGAACTTGGGACTCGTAATCCTAGGGACGGGTTCCATCCCCGGCCATGGCGGAAACAAATGAGCAGAGTTTTTTTCACCCTGATGCCCATGTTACAGACATGATTAAGTCATATAAGATACAAAGAGTCACTGACACAGTGGGCAAAAACAGAATGTTTAGCCTGAACTGGTGTAAGACGAGATATGACACCGATGTAAATGAGAAACTCAGATGAGTTAAAGGAGTGACAGGAATCACTTCTTCAGTGTAGGAGTAATGAACAAGTTCAACCAACTAAGAGGAGATTATTGAGGTCCACGAGAAGGAGCTCACCCTCTCAAACATTGTAGATGTTTATATGTACAGAATGTGTGTTAAAACACAAATCCTACTACACAAATATATGTATAAATGTATGTTAAAACAGTAATCCTATTATCACTACCACTATTTAATAAATTCACAGTTTTGTCTTTATACTCTAAAATATATGTTAAAATACAAAATGCATCGACTTAAATGCTATGAAAATCCGGACAAATGTTCACAGATAATGACAAAACCTTAAAAACAAGTATACAACATTGATACTTTGGTCAAGTTTATGTTGTTGATAAAGTTAAGTTTGGAGTCCCTAGAGGCCGCTTCCTCCTGATATCTTATCTTTCACTGTATCTAAATTTTAAGTGTATCTCCCTCTCTTTATTGTGGAGTAGTTGTCGAGGGCTGAACCAGACCACAGTGGTCAAGAGGGACTGACTTAACACACGCTGAATACATCACAAGCGTTACTGACAGACAGCTACAGAAAGACAGATGCTATAGACAGCTTCAAAGTAGCTCCACCCTGCTTTGAAGCTGTCTGTAGCATCCTCCTTCACTCTCCATCCTTGTTCCCTCACGCTATCAACCCACCATAGGGACGGAGGGTAGTCAGGTTATCAGAGCCGGATTACCCAATAGGTTAAGTAGGTCATGGGCCTAGGGGCCCGCCAGCACCAGGGGGGGGGGCCACCAGATTGATTGTTTCTCTTCTTCCCTCATGATTGTCTCTCTTCTTTCCTCCCGATTGTTTCCCTTCTTCCTGATTGTTTATCTTCTTGATTGTTTCCCTTCTTGCTGATTGTTTCCCTTCTTCTTGATTGTTTCTCTTCTTCCCTTCTGATTGTTTCTCTTCTTCCCTTCTGATTGTTTCTCTTCTTCCCTCCTGATTGTTTAAGATAGCTTCCACAATACCACGAGCCTCTACCTATCTAATCAGTCTTTGCCACAATAGACGTTAAGCTAATTGACCGACAGCTCGACGCAATCTGCGTCTAGTTTGAACACAAATCGATACCACGTTGGCAGCCCTCCACGACTCTGGTATTCTGCTCGACGTTAACGATATATTAGATATTCCAGACAAGGAGTCATTCAACTCTACTTCCTGTTATTTTGTTTAAGCACATTTCTGGTCCCCTGGGGGGGGGGCTTGTTTTGCTTAATTCTGTTTATATTTGTTTAATTTGTTTAATAGTTTTCACTCTGACAACCACTGGACTAGTTCTCCTTTCCTCTCCACTACCAACGTAGATTTGTTCAGCTGAAGACACAAAGTCAGCTGTCACGGGCTGCTTCCTGGGGGTGGAGGCCTGGTCTAGGACCGGGCCGCGGGGACACTAAAAAGCCCCGAAATCATCTCAAGATAACCTCAAGAAGATGTTAAGTTTTTTCTCTTGTGAATACACACAAAATATTGATTTAGTATACCACCCATTTCTGTGTCATCGTCAGTTACTTGATCTGACTCAGTTCGTAATGCCCCCCTAGACCCGTCTCTATAATCTTTGTCACAACTGAAAAGATTATTTATATTTTTAGGATGTATCGTTAGGGGAGGGGGCGGGGGGGATCCTTAAGTGGTCTGTCTCCGCTTCATATAAGATGCCGTCCGCCTGTTTCAAGCTCCCACCTAACCCACGACTTGAGTTAAGTGCAATTAGCGATAATTAGAGATGACAAGTTTTTTAGCAGGTAATGGGCTCCATCGGCGCCCCACACACACACACGCACGCACACACACACACACACACACACACACACACACACACACACACACACACACACACGTGGTTGAGCACTTTCGTCCTTCTTGCCCTCAAGGTGTCCTGAAAGGTTCACAGCCAGATGGTCCCGGGTTTGATTCCCGTGTTGGGCAAGGCGTTTATAGGGACGTCTTTCCTTACACCTGCTGCCGCTGTTCTCCTAGCAATAAATAAGGGCTCAAAAAGTTAGGTAATAGGTGATTATTAGGTGACTGGTACATATCAAGTGATAGGTAGTTATCAGGTAATAGGTATGGTAATTATTAGGTGATATGTAATTATCAGATGATATGTAATTATCAGGTAATAGGTAAGGTAATTAATCTTCAGGTGATTCGTATGGTAAGTTAAAGTGATTATCAAGTGAAATGCAAATCCGGTAATAGGAAGGCAAAAGATAAGGTAATCATCAGGTAAAAGTAACTACCATTGATAGCTTCTTAGGCATGAAGACGCTCTATCAAAGACATTTTATGATTGCTGTGTAGTGACGTGCAGGCGGCGTGACCTCACCGCTCCACACAATGAACCAAACTATCCTTGCATCACTCCAGTCCATTATTTTATTAAAAGCATAGCATTGTGCGGTACGACTTATTTCCGGAATACTTGGATAGTGGCAGCGGACGTGCGTCAGGCAGCGAGGTGTGATAGGGGAATTTCCCTGCATGAAAAATAACACAGAGAATTTTTTTTCCTTGGCGAGCCATAGTCGGGCTTTGTCTTCTTAATTAATTACAATGGCAGCAGAAGAGGGAAAAGGAGGACCAAAGGGAAAAGCAGTAACAAAGGGAGCTTAGGAACAGCAGCGTCTTTACTAGTAAAAGTAACAGTAAATGTTACCCCTGCTTAAGTAACAAATCATCAATTGATGGGGTAACTCAGATATTTCTTCGAGGACTCTGGGTAGATAAATATATTATTTTATGCCGCTTGAAGAATTATTTAATAATCGTAATATTTAAAGAGTTTTAATACCAAATGAGTAATGTATATTTCTGTATAGCAGTAGAGATATGTATGGGGGAGGGGTTGAAAATATTGCTCGTTCTGGGGGAAAAAACGCCTCGTTTGGGAATCCGGATATCCGGAATCCGGATATCCGGCTTGGAAAACACACACACATGGAAGGAAATTGTTTGATCAACGTCACCAGCTGACTCGTTATCATTCACCTCTTGCCTGAACACACACACACACACACACACACACACACACACACACACACACACACACACACACACACACACACACACACACACACACACACACACACACACACACACATAAATCACCCTTCCTACTGAACACTATCCAAGCGAGTTCATCGACATATATGTGCGTGTGCGTGTGCATGTGTGTATGTGTGTGTGTGTGTGTGTGCTATCAGTTAAAACAACTGCTGGATATCATACCGGGTGATATCAAGCAGGTTATATGAGACTAAAGATTACTAATGACCTCCAATGATCGTTACGGCACACCTCCACCTGCGTCTTGTAAGCAACTACACCTACCACCATCTCCTCACCTGTGACAACCTACCACCATCTCCACACCAGTGACAACCTACCACCATCTCCACACCAGTGACAACCTACCACCATCTCCTCACCTGTGACAACCTACCACCATTCCGTCAAGTCTGGCAAATGATTGACTGTGCATGTCCTACAATATCAATATTAAAGTACTTTCAATATAACAAATGCGTCGCATTTCTAACGGATTGGCCAATTAGGTCAAAAACGCGAGGTGATTGTACACTAATTGTTACGTAGAACGTCCATTACCAGAATGTTTTAATGTTTTTTTTAATTCAGTCGTTAATTAAGTGATCCTTGATGATCTTCATTACGAGTTAAATTAATAATATTAATTTGTTTAATTATTTACAATTATTTCTCGGATAATATGTTGTGGCGGTTATTATGTATATAAATATATTTTATATGTATACCTGTGTTTCCGAAGGTATGTTTTATGAATTTATTTTGTA